CCCCCACTTTGGCTGACTTCGCCGCCGTACCTGACAGCACTTCCATGCTGCGACCCTCCCCGGCGCCGCTTCCCGCCACTCGTTGCTCGCCCCTTTCCTCGCCCGGACCTTTTATAGCGGCTGGCCACGCCCCCTGTCCTCGCGCCGGCCCGGGATGGAGGATTGCGACAGGCTGAGGTCACCTACAGCCCGCCTCCTGCGTGGGACCGAAGTCTGCACCCCCGCCCCCCTCCCTTGCTTTGGGCAGGAATGGGCGGCTTGCTTAACCAGCGGAGGAAAAGGGCGCCTTGGATGGATCAAGGAAGAAAGGGGGGTGGCGGGGGTGGGGCAGCTTCCTTTCCTCCCCAGGGGAGAAAGGAAACAATAGTTCGTTTTATGGAGTTGTTAAAAATTGAACACACATCCCCCCCCCCAATAGTCGAAGTTCTCTGGGTGGTTTCCAGTAATACAAAAAAAAACAACGAGAAAATAGTACAGGATGGAATAGAATAAAAAAAAAAAACCCCGCATAAACTAGAAAGCGGCAGGGCCTTCCTTGAAAAACTGGAAAAGTATGATTCAGATATAAATAAAAGCCCGTGTAGAAGCCTGAGGGAAATACAGAAAGGTCATTGCAAGGTGGTGAAATGATGCCCGAGGCCTCTCTTGAGGGAAGGGGTTCCCCTCATGGGATGCCACTCCAGAAAAAGCTCTGGGAGACTCCAAAATTATGGAACTACAAGGAAGGAAGGGACTGTATTGTCTTTACTGAAAGGAAAATGGCTCTGGGTTGAAAATAATTCAGAGAGTGAGATGATGGAGGAGGAGGAGGAGGAGGAGGAGGAGGAGGAGAAGAAGAAGAAGAAGAAGAAGAAGAAGAAGAAGAAGAAGAAGAAGAAGAAGAAGAAGAAGAAGAAGAAGAAGAAGAAGAAGAAGAAGAGGAGGAGGAGGAGGAGGAGGAGGAGGAGGAGGAGGAGGAGAAGGAGGAGAAGGAGAAGAAGAAGAAGAAGAAGAAGAAGAAGAAGAAGAACCTAATAATAATAATAATGATAAAGTTGGAAGGGACCTTGGAGGTCATCTAGTCCAACCTCCTACTCAGGCAAGAAACCCTATACCATTTCGGACAAATGGCTGTCCAGTTTCTTCTTAAAAACTTCCAGTGTTGGCGCATTCACCACTTCTGGAGGCAGGTTGTTCCACTGGTTAATTGTTTTAACTGTCAGGAAGTTTCTCCTTAGTTCTAGGTTGCTTCTCTCTTTGGTTAGTTTCCACCCATTGCTTCTTGTCCTGCCTTCAGGCACTTTGGAGAATAGCCTGACTCCCTCTTCTTTGTGGCAGCCCCTGAGATATTGGAACACTGCTATCATGTCCCCCCTCATCCTTCTCTTCGTTAAACTAGACATACCCAATTCCAGCAGCCGTTCCTTATATGCTTTAGCCTCCAGTCCCCTAATCATCTTTGTTGCTCTTCTCTGTACTCTTTCTAGAGTCTCAGCATCTTTTTCACATTGTGTTGACCAAAACTGGATGCAGTATTCCAAGTGTGGCCTTACCAAGGCATTGTAAAGTGGTATTAACACTTCACGTGATCTTGATTCTATCCCTCTGTTAATGCAGCCTAGCACTGTGTTGGCTTTTTTGGCAGCTGCAGCACACGGCTGGCTCATATTTAAATGATTGTCCACTAGGACTCCGACGAAGAAGTTACTATATTCTTGCAAAATTAAGACTATAAAAGTACTTCATCTATTTCTTAAGTGGGAAAAAATCTTTTAGGTAAATTGAATTGTTCTGGGTTGGGGGAAACAAAAAAGAAAGGTGGTAATATATTTTTGCCTCTTCTTATAGTACACTTTTTTCTGTTTTCCCAATGCTAAAAATAGAAACGGAAACTGCAGGGGAAAAAAAAAGATAAGCTGGGTGGTTCAAACTTGGATGGGAAAACACCAAGAAGTCATGGGACACCGGGAAGTCATAAAAAAAAAAAATTCTTGCACAGAACATTATCTAAATGTCTACGTTGTCACCTTAACTGAACTCAGAGTTGATAATAAATATAATAAAATTATCTTTTTATACTGTACTCACATCCTGCCTTTCATCCACATTGCTAAAGGGATGGGGCCGATGAATCACAATATGAAAAAAAGATAAAAACTGCAAATCTTAATAACTCTTCAGTAAGTTACCGTAAAGNGCCAAAGTTAGCTAACATTAAACTTTTACTACAGCCGGGAAACTGAGGTAATAGTCCTCCTAAGGTAATCCAGTAATAATTATGATGTTAGGGGGCAAATTTCCACTTGAAACTTCTGTTATATTGTTGCTCTGCTTTACACCTGCTAAACTATGGTTTGAGTAAACCATAAATGGCTCAAGTTCCCTCCTTCAAATAAACATTTGCTCATGATTAACAAAATGTTAAACACAAATTCAACAAAAGGCTTGGCAGCTTGGTAATGTGTGTGACTGCAGCCATGGCATTACATGAGCTCTTCTGAATGATGCATGCAGAGGATAAATATGATGATCTTTTTACATTCATGAAATACATTTGACTAAAAAAGCAGCTTGGCCATCTTCCTGCCAGCACTTGTGTCTCATTGACCTGGATTCATCCCACCAGCAAAAGATCATTTACAACAGCCATAATCCTTAACGGTATTTGGAGCTTTGCTATTTTCAAGAAGTGACTGCATGCGCTGCTGACCGTGCTGCGGGAAAGGCAGTGGTTCAACCGGTAAAGTCCCTCCCTCAGCTTCCTAAATAACTTCAGAGAACCCAAAGCACAGGTCTCTCTCTGTCTTTTACAAAAAGCAACTGTAAAAAAACCACAGAAAGTCGGTAATTCTTGTCAAACACGGTATCAGGAAGGAAGGAAGGAAGGAAAGAAGGAAGGAAGGAAGGAAGGAAAGAAGGAAGGAAGGAAGGAAGGAAGGAAGGAAGGAAGGAAGGAAGGAAGGAAAGAAGGAAGGAAGGAAGGAAGGAAGGAAGGAAGGAAGGAAGGAAGGAAGGAAGGAAGGAAAACCAGATCTCGGAAAAACGCTCAGTTCCCACGACTTTGTAAAGAGAAATGTCGTGGGTGTGGTACCTGGCCACGCAAAACCAAGCTGTGTGGCTTTGTTGACAGTCCAATACAGTAAGTAGAAAATGCAAAGCAATTGGATCAATTGGGAACGCACGCTTCACTTAAGCACCAGTCATCCGGGGTCGTGTGAACCCGGCCACCGAGCTGCCAGAAGGGTCCAATGCAGCCTCCAGTCCTTCATCCCAAGAATCGCCTTTTCGGTGAGATGGGCGGCATAGCCAATCAAATCAAATCAAATCAAATCAAATCAAATCAAATCAAATCATAAATCAATCAATCAATCAATCAATCCCGTTGGCTTTTCCCTTCAGCTGGCCAGACGAACAGGGAACGAAAACTGGGGGGAAACTTCGCCCGAGAAGGACCCGGCTGCCGCCCACCTCCGCTGCTTCGCCAGCCCGCTCCGCTTTCGGCAAGTTTCGCTCCCTGGTACCCCGATTCGACCTTCGCGGCGGAACCTGAGCCGGCGTTTGTGGCAGCGCCCGGGACACGCGCGATGCCTCCCCCCTCGATCAGCCAGCCTCCGGCGAGCTTGCCACCGCCGCTGGGCACGAGATGGCAGCGCTCCAGAACCGCGAACGGCGGCGGGTAAAACGCGAAATCGTCTCGAACCCCTTCGAACCGAACCTTCCCCCGTCCCTCTTCGCGGGAGGAGACGACACCTGGAGACTCCGAGGAAAACTTTGGGAAAGCACGTGCTGTGCTTCGCCTCGCTACCCACCCCCCCTTCCCCGGTTTCTCCCTGCCCCCCCC